ATAGAGACGGGAAAGGATGGGTTGGGGGTATACCACAAGGCAGGATGGGGGTGGTGGTGGTGGAGTCAATCTCTTTCTTAGCAATTTAAAAAATGTTCATTCATTACCAACACTGCCCCCCCCCCCCCTTTTAAAAGCCCTTACTAGGAGCGGTGGTGGGGTAGTGTCTAAGGCATTTGACTGCTAACTAGAAGGCTGGCGGTTCTAACCCACCAGCCACTCCTCCGAAGGAAGACTCGGTAATCTACTTCCCTAGAGATGTTGTTGTCATGTGCCATCCAGCGGACCCAACTCACAGCGACCCCTCCTTGGGTTTCCGAGGCAGTATCACTACAGAAGTACATTGCCCAACTTTTCCTTCCGAGGAGTGGCTGGTGGGTTTGAACCACCAGCCTGCTAGTCAGCAGTCAAGTGCCTTACGCATTAGGCTAGAGATACCGCCTGGGAAACCCGAGGGGTCGCTAGGAGTCGGATTTGACTCGACCGGCAGTGAGGTTTTTTTTTTTTTAATTGTGTAACAGCTCTGGAGATGCAAAGAGGCATCTCAGAAGACCATTTTATTTATCTGGGAATATATTCATAAAACATAAATGAGACACACACATCGAGTGACAGATGAATGGGGCAAATGGTGAATACCACAGAAGTTCAGAAATGGAAGTAGACATCAAAGTTAGGGCAGTCAGTCAGAGGGTGGTCTTCAAAAGGCATTAATAGGTAAGGTTGAACATCTAAGCAGGAGGCACAAAGCAGATAAAGGCCCACTAGCAGGAACACATTTCCCCACAAAATTATTAAGCATTTACTATGTCTTTTCATGTGTCATTTACTGTCTTTCCAGTGAATGCAGGAAAAAAAAAAGTATGACTCAATCTCTGCTTCAAGGAGTTTAAGTCGATGAGAGACAAGACAAAGAAACATACATGCAGCTAGTAGAGGACAGACTTGCCCTAAAGTGCTAGTTCGTGGTTCAGCCATAAATGCAGACAAAAGTAATTCTGCATAGGGCATGAATAGAACACAGACTTTGGAATAAAACAGATCTAGGCTGCAAACTCAGGTGTGGGCCACATATTATCTGTGTGACCTTGGGTAAGTTACACGACCCGAGTCTGCGCTGTTTTCTATAAAAATAGTTGTAACAACCTTCAGTTATGGAGAGGATGAAATGAAGTCATTGTGACGAAAGGGCTTGACACGGGTGTCTAAGTTTCTACTCTTTTCCCCCTTTTCATCGTTTGTATTCACCTTCCTACCAGTAGGGATGACATGTCTGGGGTGAGCATAAAGAGAAAGATGAAGGGAGGCAACTTCCTCATTTTCCTCCCCTCTCCCCGACCTCAGGTTCCGGGAGAGTCACTGTGGAAGCGGGTGAGAGCACAGAAGTGGGGTGGGGGTGGGGGTGGAGGACCTGCTAACTGTAAACACAGACGCCACCAAGAGTTCCGATCCCATCTGGCTACCGGATTTCCGTGCTATACTGAAGCCACCCACCCAGGTCCCTGCTCTCAGTTTCACCAACTGTGTAATGGGAATACACCGTCTCCTTCTTTTCCCTTGTATAAGCTTGACCTAAACCGGTGAGAGAGGCGAGAAGCCCCCAGTTGTTGACCTCCGGCCCCATCAAGTCCTCCTCCCACTTTGGCTTTGGCCTTTTGTACCGGCCCCACGTGACCCGCCAGGCCGGCTCTTCCCTCCTGCCCCGCCCCGCCCTCCGGCCTTTCCCGGTTCCAGTCCTAGCTCTTCCCGCTCCAAGGCCGCCCCCCTCCCGCGCGCCCCTTTCCTCTCCCTCCGCCTCGCCTCCTCCCAGGCTGTTCCTTCTCCCTCCCCCAGGCAGCCGTTCCCTCGCGACGCTTCCCCTCCCCCCGCGGCTGTTCCGCCGCCACGCCTCCCCTCCCCCCGGCCGGAGCTCACTGTCTCCAAGATGGCGGCCGTGTCAGTTTGGGGCATCTCTGCGGTCCGGCCCGGTGCTCCGGTATCCCGGCTCTCTTCTTCCTCGGTAAGTAGCTGAGTGGCC